AAGGGCTTAACCTCAGAGAAGTCTAGCTTTGAGACATCATTCCGATTTCCCATTAATTGTACAGACTTGGCATATAAGATACTTTCATGAAGACCATTAAGCATACCAAGAGCTTGGATGATCATGGCATCCACCTAACCAAAAATAGCGTATAAGAGTATGCAAGAGAGGCGTTAACAAAACACAAAAACAAAAAGAAAAAACTTAATAGCATTTCAAACACCAATGTTGGAAGAGGAAAAAGTTCGATACAAAATCCAAATTTATTAAAAGCAACAAATCATGTAATGCATAGTGCTAAAACAAATGCACTGAGAAAGACTTCAGGATTGAAGTTGAATTTAAGTCTAGTAAGGTCGTGAGGCAGCCAAGCTCCTTGCAGGTGGTTTGAACCCGGAGCATAAGGGAACCTCAACCCCCTTGTGTTACCACTAGGCCACCACACATTTGGTTAAAATATATTCCGGAGAAAATGTTTTGAAGGTGAGGTTAAAAATGAACGAATTAAAAAGTTGGATAATCACAAATCAGGTAAAATGAGGATAGCTGGCTTCTCAAGCCTCGTAACAGTTCCATAACAGTGTCGTTGTGAGTACACTCTATGTCTATGTCCTACCGAGTCAAGCAAATACGTTAGAAAAGCCATATTGAGTAACACCAAAGGGACATAGTGAAAACAACACCGATGGAAATACACACGAGTTTCTCCTTCATTTGATTTCTAACTCTCGGATCAGCGACACACAAGGAATCACCCTTTTCACAGTTAGAATTCAAGAATTCAAAAAACTGAGCAGGCCAAGGCGAGGAACTCCCTCCAGCAATTGCCTTACTTCTTCAATAGCATTAGATGCGCTCTCAAACCTGTTAGGCCGATCATCTGTCATAACAACAAAATGATATGAGAAGCCTATACCAAACAATACAAGCCTAGATATGAACCCAATTAAAACAGAAGAAGAATCACCTACCCTTCACGCTGACTCTGGGACAGAGCTTTTACACAAATCACCATCAGCGAGCTTTTGAGCATTTACTTCGAAGAGAGCGAACCCGGCTGCTGTTTCGAACAGTAGGATGGTAGCTGATTTCTTGCTAGATCTGGCCAAGTAAGGATGAAAACAGTATCGGTCTTTTTCAGGCAAGAGCAGCAACGAGATGTAGGTTTACCCTAGAAGAAGGTATTTATAGAACAGAAATCCGGTTTGGGCTGGGCTTTTATTGGTTGGGTTTATGAAATTGCTCTAAAATACCTGAATGGGCAGTTTCAAAAACTAGCGGCTGGTTCGACTTTTACATCGTAGAGCATCTCCAACATGTTTTTCATGGATTTCTACAAAACTATAAAATACTACTAAAATGCTACGAGTTTGTTTTAAACTATTTCAGCAAAATACTTTTAGCAGTTATTTTCTTCTAAAAATGTTAACGTGTATTGCACACTACACAAATTTTATAGTCGAAGGAAATAAAGATAGATTTTATTGATCACTTATAATGTTTGTGTATTTTCTTTTTGAATTAATTTCATTTCGACTATTTGTCTATGCAAATGAAAGTTTCTTCTTTTTTTTTCTGATCTTTATGACATTTCATTTTCAATTAAATGAATAAAGGAGTACAATATTTTGAAAAAGTAGATAACACATGACAACATTTCATAACTTTGGTTTAGAAAAACTT